AAAAAAAGAAATTAGAAAAAGGGCAGATTAAGTACAAAGCAAGCAGAAGGAAGGAATTAATAAAGAGTAGAACTCAATGAAATTGAAAACAAACACACACACACACACAAAAACAACACAGAAAAAAATCCATGAAAACAAAAGCTGCTTGACAAGATCAGTATAATTAATAAACCTCTAGCAAGACTGACCAAGAAAAAAAGAAACATACAATTTACAAATATAAGGGATGAAAGGGGTGTTGTTACCAGAGACCTTACAGTAGGTATAGAAAAGATAAAAGGGAACTTTATACATAACACGAGGCCCATACGTTGGAAAACTAACATGAACTAGACCAAAGCCTTGCAAAGCAGACTACCGTATTCACTCAGAAGAGATAGTCTGTTAAAGAAAGTGACTTCACAGTTAAAACCCACCCAACAAACTCCAGTCCCAGATGGCTTCACTGGCCAATTATTCCAACATTTAAGGAAGAGTTAATATCAATTTCATGAAATCTACGGAAAATAGGAGAGAAGAGAGCATTTCCCATCTCGTTTGAGGAAGCCAGCACTGTCCTGGTGCCCAAACCACAGGGTCCCACAGAGTGACTCAGCTGGACCGCCCGCTCAGGGCCCCTTTAACAACAGGGCTCCAGGCCGCGTGTCACCGCGATTTCAGGACAAGCGGGCCGCTCCTTCTAAGACCTGACAGAGGACAGTCAGGGCTGGCCTGTCAGCACAGCTGTGGGGCTCCTCCCATCCAGTCTTATTTGGTGCACCTGGGGGACCCTCCCTCCAGCTTCCCAGGCTCCCACAGTCCTGTGTTGGCAGGTGGGTTTGTAGGTGTGATGGGTGCAAGGTGACAGGTTTCCCATTTGGGGCTTTTCTTTCCTCTGTGAAGAAAAAGGTGACCTCAGCGCTGCTGAGCTCCGAGTCTCGCCCCGCGCCTTTGCTGGTGTTACCTGGCCTATGGCTGTGAAGTAAGCACCTTTTCCCAGGCCCCTCACCCCAGGCTGAGGGGCGCACACTTGCTCAGGATCACAGGCTCCCAGGTGATGGAGTGCGATTGGGGATGGCCCCTCAGTTGTCTGGCGTGGAGGGTGGAGGGTGATTGAGGGTGGTCCCAGGTGCCAGCGAGAGGCAACTTCCTGGAATGGGGTGCAGAGCCCTGGGCCGGAGACTGCAATCATTGTGGGGGGACGCGCCAGGGTAGGAAAGGGTTGGGTTGGAGGGGTGCCGGCGGGAGGGTGCGTGTGGACCTCGTGCTTCACGCCCCGCGGATTGTCAGGGGGAGGCGCCTGAGCGCCGGCGTCCTGCGGGTGGAGCCAGGACTCGGGTCTCCCCGCGGCTGGCGGAACCAGCTTGAGAAGGGTGTTCTCCCGACGCCGCAGGAACGGAAGGGAGTGAACCCGTCTCGCCTCCGCCTTGAGGCGCCTGCAGAAGCGTCCCTGGGGAGGGGCGCCCAGCTTGGGCGCAAGTAGGGACCCCAGGGGTCTCCGCGGCCGGATGGGACGGCGCCGGCGTGGGTGCTCGCGCGCCTCGGGGTACGGTGCGGCCGACCTTTCATCTCGTCGGCGTCTCAGGGCGCAGGCCCGCGCGTCCCCAGCAGTCCTGCGCTGGGCCCGCCCGTGCCAATCACCTCCCTTAGTTCGCATCTCACTGAGCCATTGCATTTGTCCATCTGCCCGTCTCCCGTAGCGCAAAAGTCCAAGATGGGCAAATACAGGGTGCATCCTGGATCGCCCCAAGCCCCCCCGAGCTGGGGCGGATCCCGCCGCCCCAAGGCCGGGCTGGGGCGGGCCCGAGGGGAGGGGCTCCCGGGTTCTCGACCTGGTCACTGTCCGCGGTGCTGAGCGCCCTCTGGGGCGCATGGGGCCGGGGCTCCATGGGGAACCGCAGCGCCGCGGACGCGCTGCTGGCGGTTCGCGGGCCGGGCACCGGCGGCGGCGTGGGGGCCCCGGGGGCGGCGGCGGCGGCGGGGTTGGCAGGGCCGGGGGCGGCAGCGGCTCTGGTGGGGGGCGTACTGCTCATCGGGGCGGTGCTCGCGGGGAACACGCTCGTGTGCGTGAGCGTGGCGGCCGAGCGCACCCTGCAGACGCCCACCAACTACTTCATCGTGAGTCTGGCGGCCGCAGACCTGCTGCTCGCTATTCTCGTGCTGCCGCTCTTCGTCTACTGCGAGGTGAGCGCATCCCCGACCTCTGGGCGCACCCGCACCCGCTCCTTTGTCCCCGGTCCCAGTCCAGCGAGGACCCGGAGGGACCCGGCCGCTCGCCTTCTCGGGAACCCCCGGCTGGGGTAGTTGCAGGGGCGCTGCACCTGGTGGCAGGACAAGCACAGCCTCTGAACCCACACCTCCCCCATCTCGCTGTCCATCTGCCAGTTTTGCTGTCTGTCCGCCCTCTTCTGTCCCTGCCTTAACGTCTGCTACCCAAGAGATGTTTCTGTCCTTCAAGCCAAGGACTTCACAAACAGGCGACTTTGGCAGTCCACCCGCCCACCTCCCTCAGCTGGATTCCATTCTCCAGGGGAGCCAGCTGGACAGACAGGCTGGTTCAGGCTTAACCCTCCCGGCTCTCCCTGGGGGCACAGAGACACACGCATCACTGCACGAGGTCACAGCCACGTGAGGCCAGGGACACGCACAGTAGTGCACCCCATGGAAGGAGACCCTCACTAACACACAGACTCAGCCACAGCGAGAGGGGTGCTCAGTTGCCAGGAGCTGCGGGGCAGGACAGCAGAAGGCGGGGCGGGTGTTTAGAGCCTTGTCTACAACCAGGGCCAGGAGCCTCCACCCCAGACCAGGTCTGGCCCTTGGGTGGGTTCCCTCTGCTGCCAGCTCTGCTCGTGGTTCGGGCAGAGAAAAGCGGCTTAGGGTTGTGTTGGGGCCACGGTTGTCTGGGCTGTGGGGGAGGGGAGGCCTGGTTTTTCTAAAGTGGACACAGCGAATCGGGCGGGGCTGGGGCAGAGGCTAGCGGGACGCGGGCACGCCTGACCTGCCGCTCCCTCAGAGCTGCACACAGACGTCACAGTAACAGCTCTTAAGCTCCTAATCGTCCGAAATCAGCAGGAGGGGATTTAGAAGGGGGGGCTGTCTGCTCCTTTGTCCTTGGTTGGGGCACTAGGCACAGTGCTGAGGCCTTGATACTTTTTAACTCATTTATCCTCAGGACAATTATGTGGGTCCCATCATCACCCGCATTGTACAGGTGAGGGCACAGAGTGCAGTTGGTTGTCCAAAGTCCCAGAGCGGTGACGGTTTAAGCAGACAGGGTGGACTCTTCGCTGTGCTCAGTGGGGAAATAGGGCGCTGGGCTTCGTTCCAGGGCAACAAGGTCTCCCCCTGCCCGGAGTGGCCCGCCCCCATGGCGAACCCCCATCACCAGCGCGCAGGGTCCTCAGGCAGCCATACCCGCAGGCCCGCCCCACGCCTCTCTCAGTTCTAACGAAAGGAGGCCTGGAGGGCGAGTCGGGGGCTGCGGCCCAGTCTCAGCGGGTCTCCTGTCTGTCGTCGTTGGGCGCAGGTCCAGGGCGGCGTGTGGCTGCTGAGCCCCCGCCTGTGCGACGCGCTCATGGCCATGGACGTCATGCTGTGCACCGCCTCCATCTTCAACCTGTGCGCCATCGGCGTGGACAGGTGGGCGGCGCCCCTGCCCGCCCC